GAAAGTCATCTAACCCTGCACTTTAAGGGGGCTGATTTCATCCTATTTGAATCACAGCCCAAGGAATTTGGCTGTTTTAAAAAAGTAAAAATGGGGGCTGGAGAGATGGCTTAGAGGTTAAGAGCACCGACTGCTCTTCCAGAGGTCCTGAGTTCAATTCCCAGCAACTACATGGAGGCTCACAGCCATCTGTTATGAGATCTGGTGCCCTCTTCTGGTGTGCAGATGTACATGGAAGCAGAATGTTGTATACATAATACATAAATAAAATCTTTAAAAAAAAAAAGGAAAAATGGTTGTTTGTTTTATTACTCTCATTCTCTGTGTATTGAGTTCACATTGAGATGGACAATTTTCTTTTCTTTTCTTTTTTCTTTTCTTTTTTTGGTTTTTCGAGACAGGGTTTCTCTGTGTAGCTTTGGAGCCTGTCCTGGCACTCTCTCTGTAGACCAGGCTGGCCTTGAACTCACAGAGATCCGCCTGCCTCTGCCTCCTGAGTGCTGGGATTAAAGGCGTGTGCCACCACCGCCCAGCGGAACCTGAGTTTTTAATGCCATCTGCAGCTGGTTCTGGTGAGCAGCTACAGGTGGGACATGCAGGCCTGGTATACCCTCCCACAACTTGACTATTTATCTCTCTGTGTGTGTACATGTATGTACATGTGTGTACATGTATGTCCTTGTCCGAGTGTGTACATGTTTGCATACATGTGTGTGGGTCTCCTCATTGTGCAGGCACATATGGAGGCCAGAGCTGGTGTTAAACATCTTCTTCCATAAGGTCACATATTTTTAAATTTTATTTTCTAAAGACTTATTTTTAGTTATGTGTCTCTGTGCGTGTGTGTCCTAATGAGTGGCGTCCCCATGTCTGTGGGTACCCAGAGGTCAGAAGAGGACATGTGTTCCCCAAGAACAGTATGTGCTCTTAACTTCTGAGCCATCTCCCCAGGCCCCTCCATCTTATTTTCTGAGGTAGGGTCTCTCACTAAACCTGGAACTCACTGTTTCAGCTACACTGCCTGACTGGAAAGTGCTCGGGGCCCATCGGTGTCTGAGCGCCCACCTGGTGCTGGGGTTACAAGCCTGTGCTGGGTACTGGGGATCTGAACTCAGAACCTTACGCTTGCACAACAAGCAACCTGCCCACAGAGCTATGTTGCCAGCCATACAAGCTGGCTTTTAGAGTCGAGAAAACAAGAGGCATGGCCAATGGAATCTGTTCCAAGTCCAAGCATTTAGTAGACATTGAACTCCCACCATGTACCAGGCAGTGTGGTGAAAGCTAGAGATACAGAGAATGACAATATTCCTCCTGCTCTCAGGAGTTTGGTGAGGTGAGAGAAGAGGGGAGGAAGGGAAGGGGGGGAGAGAGGAGGAGGAGGAGGTCCAAGGCAGTAGAATTCAGAATCTGTAATTGAACTACATAATGTAGCCAGGGTTAGTCTGCTTTGGACTGACAGAAACAACAGCTTCAGGTGCCTGGGTTTTATAGGGAAAGGTTAAAGATTGAGTCCCATCTGGATAAAAAGGGAAGGTGGCCTCAGATGAGAGCTTTGGCAAACATGAGACCGGCCTAGAGGCAGGGTTTGGCTGAATCAATGTCCCGAGAAGGAAGAAAAGTATGGACAGGAGGAGACGTTGGCTTCACAGACAGTTCTTCCTATCCCTCCGTTCTCCTTGTCCCCTGAACCTAGCCCTTCAGAGGCTCGCATCCTCTCAGCTCAGAGCCCTTCCTTACGGGAAGGACTGAGTCAGAGCATAAGCAACATCAAATATTTGTCTTTTCGACCGAACACGGAAAGACGTGTGTTTTCCACAAAGAATTCTAGTCTTTCTTTATCTCCCACCCCTATCCCCCTACGCACACCTTGTAAACCTTTTTAGGTTTACACCAAAGCCCTGCTGCATTCTTAGAACATAGGGGTTTAAGTGGCTGACCCTGCCCTCTTTCCTTCTTTTCCTTTGCTCAGCTATCCTTGAAGGGGGCAAAGTCAGTCCCCTGTCTATGGGACAAGGCAGTCGCCACCTGCCTGAGAGGGCGAAAATTCAAGCACACATCCTGCCCTGGATATGGCACTTCTGCTTTTGTGAGCAGCTAATCCTCCCAAACAAGAGTAAAGTTTTGCCTTGTCGAGACACTTAGGCTGGGGCTGTTGGCCTCTTTCTCTTTTTTTTTTTTTTTTTTTTTTTTTTTTTTTTTTTTTTTT